TAGTATATGAATTTGTTGACAAAGTGATAATGAATCATAATATGATATTATATACGGGGTGTTCCATTTGAAAAATCAAAGAAGCCGCTACTTTATAGTAGAAGCGACAACGCCGCTTCGTCTAAAATATTTTAGGCGTGTAGGTCATATTGACTTATGCATACTGTGGAATTTTCAGGTTGATCCGTTGAATAGTTTGCCAGAAACGGCTAATTAACGCTCATCATGAAAAGCCCTGTATTGTTGAAATCGAAACTATACCCACGTCCTTGTCATTATTTAAGTCATCCATTTTCCCATATGATTAAATTCGCAATAATCTGCGAAATACGCTTTCAAAATGATTGCTTGGTATAACACAATGAAAGTTGGTAGCAATGGCTCGCTAATTATTAACAATTTTTGTCGATTAAATAAAATGGCACAGTACACAATGAATTCGATTCATTAATTCAAATCCTGCTGTCACCAGTATTTTGTATCGCTAACTGGAGAATGGTGTTGAATAGTCTGAATATGATTACATCACCAGACAATTAAATCTACAGACCGGTTCCTATACAGTATGATCTATCAATTGCATGTCGGATTTTTTTTTGCTAATACCATGACGGACATTAGATATGCGAGTTTGCAAGTTTTTTCACGGAGAACATTCTTGCAGATTCTTCTCCTGAAGCAGAACCACTCTGAAGTCATTCGAGTGATCAGCTAGAGACTGATCTTGGAGCATTACTGTTCATCAGTGCAGGATAGACCTAACCAATTTTCACATTTGTTATTTATAGACGCGTTTCCCTAACACCGTAGCTTCCTTAGTAGGGAGGAAGCTACCTTGTTAGAGTCTTGCAATTATAATGTCTTATAAATGCAAGACTCGATAAAGTTTAATGCAGCTGTATGATACCTATATTTCCCTCTTCGAGTTTCTATTCCTCTTTCACTTTATCTCTATCTATTACTCTCTCACTCCCTTCCCACTCTGAATTCTGTTGCCATGGCGCCATCACAGCTGATCACAGAGACTCGTTCGTGATGAAGATGAAGATGATGATTAATCAATTGATTATAAAAAATTAAAATTTTTTGAGCATTTTTTTAAAAAATTATTTTCTTATAAATACAAGTATTCTACACTTATTCATTTGCATGTCATTTCCTGAGCTTTTCAATTAATT